GTTTCCTGAGAAGGAGAGGTGTCTCCTTGGCCACTTATCACCTTTTGGGACCTCCTGCGGTCCATCCTTCAATGTGACAGTTATCCTGAGAAAAGTATCCTCCAGATATCGAGCATAGTTTTACATTTTTAGTACAGTTAGTACTGACTTTCAGCACCATTTGTCTACTTTTGTTTAGGAGTCAGCTTAAATTGTCATTTGTTATTTTTGTCTCTATGGCATTGAGTTTGACCAGTAATTCACTCGTTTAAAAGCCCTTTTAACATAACATGAAATATGCACTAAGTACACAAACATCTCTGATTATTATTTTTGTTATTATTATTATTTGGTGGTATTGGAATTTGAGCCTAGGGTCTTGACCTTTCTAAACAGGTGCTCTGTCATTTGAGCCACACCCCCGCCCTGCCAGCTCAGGTCTTACACTTTTTTTTTTTTTAAATCTGGCTGTTTCCCCTTCCCTTTTTAAATGTTTCATAAGAACATTATTATATATTTGGTATACACGCCTTTGGCTTTCCTTCTTTCTTTTTTTTTTTTTTTTTTGCAGTACTGGGGCTTGAACTCAGGGCCTTCATTATGAGCCGCTCCACTTGCCCTATTTTTGTGAAGGGTTTTTCGAGATAGGGTCTTGTGGAACTATTTACCCAAGGCTGGCTTTGAACCATGATCTTCCTGATCTTTGCCTCCTGACTAGCTAGGATTACAGACATGAGCCACCAATGCCCAACTTTTGGCTTTATTTCTTGAAAAGATTTTTCTTGCTGTGATTGGTGTGGTTTCTTAAAAATAGTGTTTTCTGATGAACAGTGTTAATATTAATGAAATGCAATTTATTCAATTTTTATGGTTAATCCAAGGAAGCTTTTCCCTATTTACATTTTCTTTCATAATTACTTTTAAAAAGTTTTATTATGTTAACTTTAATATTTGGAGTGTAGTTATTTAGAGTTGGTTTTGTATGTGCTTTGTGGGAGGGGTCACATGTGAGTCCTTTTTTTGCCATAGGCATTTTGTCTGTAGGGTCATTATGCAGGCTCCTTTGGGTGAAAAGACTTCTTTGTCACTCTTCTGGAGTGTCTCCTTTGTCTAAGTCAAGTGACTATCTATATCTGTGTCTGTTGTGATCTTACAGCTTTCCCCTCTTTTTGTACTTGCTAGGATCTCTAGTTCATTATTGAGTAGAAATGATGATAGGGTACATTCTTGTTTTGTTTCAAGCAGCAGAGGAAATGCTTTCCAAATTTTGCACATCTAGTATGTTTATTGTAGAATAGTCTTTATAGGTATTTTTATATAGTAAATATGTTCAGTGGGGTTATAATTATGATTGGGTGTTAGATTTTTGTCAAGTGGTTTTTCTGCATTTATCCATAAGACATTTCCCCCCCCCCTTTTTTTTTTTTTTGAGGTAGGATCTTGCTGTGCTACCTAGGCTGGCCTCAAACTCTGAATCCTCCACTTCTGTCTCCTGAGTGCTGGCATTACAGGCATGCATCATCACATCTGGTCTGTTTCTACATTTCTTGATGATCATGTAATTCTTTTTTCTATTAATATGTGAATTACTGACTTTTTAAATGTTAAAAAATCAACATTGCTTTTGAAATAAAGCTAGTTATAATGTATTGGTCATATTGCTAGTCTTGGTGTGCTTTTTTCAAAAAAAGTTTTGTACATTTGTCATTTTCCTTTTAGTTTTTTCTGTAGCCTCTCTAAAAATGACCGGTAACCACTGGCTCTTAGCTAACAAGAAAACTGAGAGCAGCCCCATGCTATCCCTCTTAGTTATTATTTAAGGTATATGCACTGGAGAATGTTAGCTAATCAGGGAAGAATAAAGCTAATGAATCTTATAGTAGTGAAAGAGGCATTCAGGTTTTGGTAGCTAAGGTTGTGCCAGTGTTGTAGAGTGAGTTGGAGAATGTTCATACTTTTCTTGGAAGTGTATGTGTAAGATTGGTAAAATTTGCCCTGTAATCATCTTGACCCTGTAGATTTCTTTGTAAACAATCTTTTCGTGAAAGGGTAGAATGGAGTAGAAACTACTTTTTTTTTTTTTTTATAATTTTACTGTAACAGAACATTCATAACAAGCTTGGTGTGGTAGTACTTGCCTATAGTCCCAACTACTTGAGAGACTGAGGCCGGAGGATTACTTGAGCTCAGGACTTCAAGGCCGTCATGAACAACAACATAAAGAGATGCCATCTCAAAAAAAAAAGTCATTTTTAAGTGCACAGTCAGTGCATTCACATGGTTGTACAACTATCATCCATTGCTAAAACTTTTCATTTTCCCCACCTGAAACCATGCCCTTTGAACACTAATTCCCTATTCCTCTTTCACTTAGCCCCTGGCAACCACTGAATTTCACTGTACTAGAAACCTAATGTATGTGGAATTGCACAGAATTTCTCCTTTTGTGTCTAGCTTATTTCACTGAGCTAGTCCTTAAGAATCAGCCATGTTGTAGCGTGTGTCAGCGTTTCTTTTCTTCTTATGACATGTGCATACCACATTTTGTTTATTGATTCACTTGTCAGTGAACACTTGTGTTGCTTCCACCTTTTGTTTATTTTGAATAATGCTGCACTGAATGTGGGTATACAAATATCTGCTTGTGTACCTACTTTCACTTCATTTGGGTGTATAGCCAGAAGCAGAATTGGCAGATTTGGCAGATTATGTGGTAATTCTGTAATCTTTTTTTGGGGAACTTCCATACTATTTTCCATAGTGACTGCACCACTATATATTCCCACTATCAGCACACAGGAGTTCCAGTTTCTCCACATCCTCATCAACATTTGATACTATGTTTTTTTTATAGTAGCCATTTCAATAGGTGAGCAGCTGTATCTCATTATAGTTTTGATACAGTTATTGTCACTAATACGTGTGATCTTGAGCATTTTTTTTTTTTTTTTGTGACACAGGGGTTTGAACTCAGGGCCTCACAGTTGCTAGTTAGGCACTCTTACCACTTTGCCAGCCCTTTTTGTGATTTTTTCTTTTCTTTTTTTTTTTTGGAGATAGGATATGGAAAACTGTTTGCCTGGGGCTGGCTTCAAACTGCAGTCCTCCTGATCTCTGCCTCCTGAGTAGCTGGGATCACAGGCATGAGCCACTGGTACCTGACTCTTGAGAATCTTTAGATTGAATAGTCTTGGCTCCCTTGTTGAAAATCATTTGACTAAATATGTGAACATTTATTTTGGGGCTCTCTTTTTCATTCCATTGGTCTATATGCCTATCTTTATGACAGTACTGCATCATTCTTTATCATTTCTTTTCTTCTTTCTTAGGATTTAATATATTATTTTTCTAACTTTTTGAGAATGGAGTCTTATATTCTGTTTATTGTGAAAAATTTCTTAAAAAAAAGGTAGAAATAATGTAATGGGCTTATTTAGTGAGTGTAATACTTCATTTCCCCTGCTACACTTTTCTGTCTTGTTGATGAATTGATTAGATTATTTTAAAGCATGTCTGACTTTAAAACATTTCTAAGGCACTTTATTTCTTTTGATCACATCTTAAAAATGCAATATCATTAAGGTGACTGACAAGATTAAAACTGATTCCTTAATCTAACACAGTCCATATGTACTTTTCCTAGACTATCTCAAAAATGCTCTTTTATAGGTGGGGATTTTAAAGTAGGATATAAGCAAGTTTATTAATAATGGTGTCTCACCTCTTTCTCCCCAGCTGCACAACTCCAGGCTCTCCTCTTTGTCTTGTCTTACTGTTTATTTTTTAAGGCCAGGTAGTTTGTTTTTGATGATCTGACATTTTTTGAACTTGGTTAATTGTGTTCTCTAGTCCAATATGTTCTTCTGTCAGTTACATTTTATCTAATCTGTTGGTTAGATCTAAGACTTAGTAGGATTGGATTCAGTTTTGTTAGGTCAGAATGTATCTGAAGCCCAGCTGTGTACTTTCTATTGGCTGAGGAGGCCTGTGATGATGTATAGCTCCTCTTTTAGTTCTTTTCAGATAGACAAGGGAGTTCATGTATTGCTTGCTCTTTATAAAACTTACTACCATCCCTGCCCTAGCTGTCGGATTATATTGGGGTGCAGTATTTATAGGATTTCTCTCCCATTGCTTGTAATCATTTTTCATAATATTGAGTTGGTTTTCTAACTTTTCCAAAGGTGACTATTCAGGTTTTCCTCCCTCCCTTCTTCCCTCCCTCCTTCCAGTATCATGAACTAAATTAATTTTACTGATTTGGTACAGTTATTAGCTTAAAAGTAAATTTTAGCTTTTCTTGTTTTCTAATATATGCATTTAAATGTTTAAATGCCCTCAGGCATACATTTTAACTATAGGCTACAAATTTTGATCTGCATTACCTTCATTTTCTAATTTCTGTGGTTATTTTTTCCTTGTAATTTTGGGTTGCTTAAAAGTGTATTTTGTAATTCTCAAACGTATGTAGAATTTTTTGTTGTTACTATCTATTTCTGGTTTAAATAGCCTTATAGTTAGCATACATGCTTTATGACTTAATTTCTCTGAAATCTGTTGAGGTTTGCTGCATGCTCTGGCATGTGGTTATATTTGATAGTTATGTTGTATAAAGGTGTTTTTTTCTTTCTTTCATTTTATTTTTTTGTGGTACTGGGGTTTCAACTCAGGGCCTACACCTTGAGCCACTCCACCAGCCTTTTTTTTTTTTGTGGTGGGGTTTTTTGAGATAGGGTCTCATGAACTGTTTGCCTGGGGCTGACTTGAACTGTGATCCTCCTGATCTCTGCCTCCTGAGTAGCTGGGATTACAGGTGTGAGCCACTGGTGCCTGGCTAAATCATTCTTTTTTAATAGAATTTTTATTTGTAGTGTTATGTACCAAAAGAGATATTTTTTCTCCTGTTGTGATTGTGAATTTATCTATTTTTTTCTTGTTCTTTGACATAATTTGTTTTTGTTTTTCTTTCATTTGGTCTATTGATGTTCTGACTGACTGCTTTTTGGTTTTTGTATATGCAGAGTCATTTTTTACAGGCCAGAACTGTAGAAATAATGAGGAAGTGACACTTATACGCAAAGCTGATTTAGAGAACCACAATAAAGATGGAGGCTTCTGGACTGTAATTGATGGAAAAGTGTATGACATAAAGGACTTTCAGACACAGTCATTAACAGGAAATAGTATTCTTGGTAAGGCTGCATTTTTTACTTCATGGTTAAAAGTTACAGCATGTGTTATTTTAAGCAGAGTGCTCAGCTTTTATAAATGTCTTTAGTTCTGCTCCAGCATCTACACATTTTCATATATCTGTGACTTTGGTGTCTGTTATCAGCAAATTCAGGCACAAGTTGAAGAATTTCTTCTCATCATGTATTTTTTGTTCCAATACTTGTTGAATCTTGTTTCAAGTTCTGAGTTGGCCCAGGCAAGCCTGAGAGGTAGTAAGAGATCATTATACTGTGGTAACCCTTTCTCTTGAGTTAATCCAGCTGATGTACTTTGTTCCTATCACTTCTATTCTAGTTGTCTAAGTAAATTGTTCAAGTCATGTTGCTTTTTTCCTTTTTGTTTCAGCTCAGTTTGTTGGGGAAGACCCAGTGGTAGCTTTGGAAGCAGCTTTGCAGTTTGAAGATACACGAGAGTCCATGCATGCATTTTGTGTTGGCCAGTATTTGGAGGTAAAGCTGTGTGTCTGCTTTGAGTGACATGGGAGATACCAAGGGAGGGCTCCTCTATGTTTGTGATAGGATGATATTTACCTGAAGTGGTTGATATCTGGGCCTTCTGGGAGGCAATGGATGAAATTAAGTGATAAACATAAAATTTGTTTTTTGATAAATGAATTTATATTTATTTACATTAAGATTTATGATGTACTGGTCTTAAATTATTCTAAAAATTATCAATATGTAGGAAATACAGCCACTGTTCCATAAAAAGGTGGGGATTAAATTTTGATTTTTATAGTTTTATCAAAAACTGATACAGAAATTTGGAATAACTTACTATACTGAGATTTTTGTGGGTGTTGGGGTTTGAATTCCAGGGCCTTAAAGTATCTAAGCATGTACCACTTGATCCACACCCCCAGCCTTTATCTTGAGTTTTTGGGAAAAATTATATGCAAGCATAGTTCTTTAGGATAGAAATATGTTTTTCCTATATACTCTTGAGAATTGGAGTTTATATATTTTTATTGGCTTTTCCAGATATCCAGAGGTAATAAAATTCAGTAAATACCATAGAGTAGGGCTTCAGACATTAAAAGGGAAAATTAGCTGTGAATTATCTGATATGACTGGAAAAGTGTAAGATTATTTTTCTTGAACTCTTTTAGTGAGTTTGCTTTTCATTAGAATTAATTTCCTCTATGTGTGGCCACAGTTTATTAACTTATAGCAACACTAACATATTTTTGTTGCTCTCATTGTTTTTTTTAATGCACATAAAATTGATTATATTGTCTGGAGCATTATGTACAATAATCTTGAAAACTGTTTGATTCTCCAAATATTGTAGCTAAGTCATTTGTTTATGCTTTGGTATCCTCCACGTCCCCCATGCATACCCCCACCCCTCCCCACTCCGTCCCAGAACTGTATGTCTTTTGTCTGCTTTGTAGGGTGTGTGGGGTTTATGTGGTAACAGCTGTTACCTGGGCACACTAGTTTAAACTCATTACAGGATGTAGGAACAGGGTTCCTGGTTCATTCACTTGTCCTCATCATGGTAGTACATCTTAAGTATATAAACTGTTGCTCTTCTTGGTGTTACTTTTTTTTTTTTTCCTTTTCTTTTTGGTGGTACTTCTATTTAAACTCAAGAATTCAGGGGTGTTATGTTTTTAATTAATCTTGTTTTCTCAGACTGATGATGAAATTAATTTTCCAGCCTGACCAAGAAGTCGTTACCATACCAGATCTGGGAAGTCTCTCTTCACCTCTGATAGACACAGAGAGGAATCTGGGCCTGCTTCTTGGATTACATGCTTCCTATTTAGCAATGAGCACACCACTATCTCCTGTCGAGGTTGAATGTGCCAGTAAGGAAAACTTTATTTTTTGCTAACCAGTCAGCAGGTTATTTTTATTTTAGTTAAGCAATAAGTGATACTAAGAGTAGGAGAGAAAGAAGAATTAAGTTATTGATGATGAAAAATAAGGATAGTGAGACTCATCAATTGGAAATAACTGAATGGCTTTCATTTGTTTCATGATCCTTGGCCACAGGGAAAGCTAACAAATATATAGGAATGTCTGTCTGGTGACATGTCTCTTACTTCATCCTCCAACAGGCCTAATATGGCTGTCATCTCCCTATGCACCTAGAAATTGCACACAGTGTGGATTGACTGTATCTGAAATACCTTTCTGCTTAAAAGATTGTGTTTTTACCAGACTCAGGCCAGACACATTTTGTGTTGACATCCTTTGTAACTACCTAAACAATGAAGATAAGTTTAACTTTTTCTTCATTTAGTTACACATCTCTCATCTGTCTGTCTGCCTGTCAATTCATTAGCATGTGTTGAGCAGTTACTTGTGCAGGTTACTGTGCTGAGCGTTAAGGATATAGAGATTGATAAGATGACCTTCCACTCTCAGCTGATGATGAGCCAGCATTCTAAGCAGCACAGGATACATGGTGGTACATGATGAGATATTTAGAAGTAGGTCTGGGGGAGAAGAAAAGCTCCCAGTGGCAACAGTCCTGGAACTGTGTATGGGAGCACACTGGGCAGAAACACAGAATGTGAGGGGCACTGTTGAGAAGGACAGGAATTTCTAGTTGCTAATCAGAGTGGTTGTCTGGAGAAGACTAGCAGACCAGATAGCCTTAGGGCCTTCTTGGCTTTCTGTCGAGCAGACCTTCAGACCTGTGTTCTTCTTTGAGACTTATCATAGTAGTGAAGGACAAATTTTATTCAAGTCAGCAAAGAGGTGAGACTGGGAAGCTCCAAGGTAGAAGGAATAGAAAGTGCTGTGGGCCCTGGTGGGTGGGGGCCTGACCCACTGTGGGTACAGAAGCTTGTCTTTGAGGGATTCTAAGAGCCTTCTTTTGTCCTAAATAGAGCAAGGGAAGGTCAGAATCAGCTCTGTGGTTTGGTAGTATTGACATGGCTATTTGGGGAGAAGCTCCTGAGCATTCTAAATCAAAATGTTCAGTAAGACTTGATTGCTTGTTGTGATGTATATTCTGATTATTTTGGGGGTACATTTCCCTCCAGTTATCATAAACAGTTATAATTAGTATTCTGTTTGCCATAATAGAAGGCATATTCTTGTCAAGTCTGACTGACCCTATATCTTGTGCTAAACACAGGTCTTCTTTCCATCCCATTAGGTCTCCCATCTTTAAGATCTTTCCTTTTTCAAGATTATGCATTGTTTGTCAAATATGCTCTCATTTATAAGTATTCTAGGAATATGTAACCTATCCTGAGGATGTTCTTTGTAGAAACCCTTCAGATGTGTTGTTCTGTTTGTGTGCTCAGCATCCTTGTCTTATAATTCTCAGCTCAGTTGACACTTACATGAAGAGTCCTCAGCATAGTGCCAGTCTCTGCCGCAAGCCCTTGTGCCCTCTGCAGTCCTTTGTTGCCTACATTCTTATGATTGAAGTTGAGTGATTATTTGTATAAGGAGTGCTTTACTCCTGCTTTTCCTATGAGAATGTAACCATATGTAAACATAGCATATAGTATGGAACAGGCACCCAGCAAAGGTTGGACTGGACCTTTGATGCTATGCTTAAGGTATATTGAATAACCAGAAAGTGTTGCTTGTTTGCATGTAGATAAAGAGAAATTTTAAGCTAGTGTAAATGTGTTAGAAGTAACTTTTCATATGAATGATGCTGAATGTTACCTTCTAAATTGAGTATTTATTTCAGGTTTTTTTTTTTTTGTATTTTATTTCTGAAGAGTACACTTGGGTTTCTCTTTTATGTATACTTACGTATTTTCTAGAGTGGCTTCAGTCATCCATTTTCTCTGGAGGCCTGCAGACCAGCCAAATCCACTACAGCTACAATGAAGAGAAAGATGAGGACCACTGCAGTTCTCCTGGAGGCACACCTGCTAGCAAATCGCGGCTCTGTTCTCATAGACGGGCCCTAGGTGACCATTCCCAGGCATTCCTGCAAGCCATTGCTGACAATAACATTCAAGACCACAATGTGAAAGTAAGCAAAAGGTTCTCCAACTTCTGACTCAGCATTCTGTAATCTGAGGACTTTGACCTGCAGATGCTTTCTTGTTTGACAAACATAGCACAGACTTGATTTATGTATTATTTGGAGGGTTGGTTTTGAGGTGAGATGCTGATTCTGTTCAGTGAGGTTTGCATTATCTATTGTAAGTGTGGCAGATGCTACGGCTGGCTGGCTCTGAAGTTACCTTTGGTCCTTTCTGTTGTAGGACTTTCTGTGTCAAATTGAGAGGTATTGTAGACAGTGCCACTTGACCACACCTATCATGTTTCCTCCTGAGCATCCTGTGGAAGAAGTTGGCCGTTTGCTATTATGCTGTCTCTTAAAACATGAAGATTTAGGTATAAAGTTTGATATCCATATACTTTAGCTATATTGTAGACCTTTCAACTGATGGGCAATATACATTCATTTCTACCCCTCCCTTCTTTCAAATGTCTTTTACAGGTCAGGTAGCATTATCTTTAGTTCATGCAGGTACGCTTGGCATTGAGCAAGTAAAGCACAGAACGCTGCCTAAATCAGTGGTGGATGTTTGTAGAGTTGTCTACCAAGCAAAATGTTCACTCATTAAGGTGAATAGATTTTAATTCTTTTTTGGAAGCGGGGGGGCGGGGGGGGCTCTACAAACATTTGCTAAAGTATTTGTTGTTAAGTTTTCCTTTCCTATTTAACTTTGCAGACTCATCAAGAACAGGGTCGTTCTTATAAGGAGGTCTGTGCTCCTGTCATTGAACGTTTGAGATTCCTCTTCAATGAATTGAGACCTGCTGTTTGCAATGATCTCTCTATAATGTCTAAGTTTAAACTGTTAAGTTCTTTACCCCGTTGGAGGAGGATAGCTCAGAAGATAATTCGAGAACGAAGGAAAAAGAGAGGTAAGAATGTAGAGGTTAGAAAATACTGTTAAATTATATACTTCCTCCATATGGTCGAATCTGTGATTTCAGAGAGAAGCTATTTGCTACTGTTTGTTGTAATGTGGCATTTCCACATAGTGCTATAATATGTGATTAAATGTAGAATTCCTGCCTATTTTTCCAAGAGATCAGATAGTGATGCAACTTGGAATTGAATTTGTTATACTTTGTATAGTAAATTACTGCTGAAAAAGATAAATAATAAAAACTTTACTAAATTGACAGGAAAAGTTTTAAAATTTTTTTTATCAGTTGTCCTCATTATGAGATATATTACAATATTTAATCTTACAACTTAATCTTGCCATTGTTATAAAGAAGAAAGTTTTTTGAAATAATGAATACAGTAGTCCCCCCTTATCCATGGGTGACATATTCCCAAACTCCCCAGTGGATGTGGGAAACTGCAAGGAGTACCAAATCCTGTATATACTTTGATTGTCCCTTTGTTAGTTTAATTTATAAATTCATAATAGTTTAGTTTATAAATTTGACTCAGTATGACATTAACAACAAATAATAAAGTAATTATAATAATTTACTGTCATAAAAGTTATGTGAATATGGTATTTGTCTCTTCAAAGACTCAAGACAAAAATATTTTTGAACCAGGGTTGAACACAGGTAACTGATACCATGGAAGGTGAAAGTGTAGAGGAAGGGTCATCCTGTTTTTCCACATGGAGAATCATTGTGGAAAGGAGTTAAAATAGTTACTGATACTTTCAAGGGAGCAACTATGTAAGGGTATGGAAAAGGCATTTGGCATTATGGGGTAAAAATACATAGTACTTTAGAATTTGGTCATTTGTGATTATAAATAAGTACCCAGCCACCTCACATTCATGAATTCCAAGCCAGCATTGTTACCTTTAAAATTTTCTTATTTTGGGTTTACAAATTTATTACGGAGTATTTTAAGCTAATTTTCTCTTTTTTCCCCTCCTCTCCCCTCTCCTCCCTTCCCTTTTTCTCCCTTCCCCTTTCCTCCCCCGCGTCCCTTCCTCTCCCCTCCACTCCCCAGACTCCACTTTCCCAAAGCAAAAGCAGGTTATCAAAAGACACCTGGGGCTGTATGAGTTTAGTATCATGTATCTGACCAAACTGTTGCCACATGGTCGTAGGCCTCAGGTATATGAGGACAGGGTCTCACCACATAGCCCATCGTGACCTTTATCTCACAATCTTCCTGCCTTAGCCTCCTGAGTGCTGGGATTATGGACGAATATTTCCATGCCCAGCTGAAAACATTCTTATCAGGCAGGATATTCCAAGGGCTCAGGGTTCAAGTTCTTGTGTGCAGTTGTCAAAGGATAGACCTATCTTGGGAACATGGAGGATTTGAGCAACTGAGGGCTTCTGTGTTAGCCTTTTACTGCCCAGGTATATTGTCATTTTTATATACTGAGAATTAGACAAAAAAACTTTAAAAGGTTAATAGGGAAACATGTCACATATCACTTTGAAAATTCAGCAGAATTTTCCCTAATGAAACAGGCTATCCATTTAGTTCAGTTATATTCTGATGGTAAGACTCTGTACTAGATCAGCAAAGAAAAGCCAGGGACTGTGGGCCAAATATGGCCTGTTGCTTGTCTTTTGTTGCCCATGAGTTGACAGAAGAAGGTTTTTTTTTTTTTTTTTTTGCCACTTGAGTTTGAAATCAGGGCCTCACGCTTGCCAGGCAGGTATTCTTTTTTCTTTTTTTTCTTTTATTATTCATACGTGCATACAAGGCTTGGGTCATTTCTCCCCTCTGCCCTCACCCCCTCCCTTACCACCCACTCCGCCCCCTCCCTCTCCCCCTCACCCCCTCAATACCCAGCAGAAACTATTTTGCCCTTACCTCTAATTTTGTTGAAGAGAGAGTATAAGCCATAATAGGAAGGAACAAGGGTTTTTGCTGGTTGAGATAATGATGGCTATACAGGGCATTGACTCACATTGATTTCCTGTGCGTGGGTGTTACCTTCTAGGTTAATTCTTTTTGATCTAACCTTTTCTCTAGTTCCGGCTCCCCTTTCCTATTGGCCTCAGTTACTTTTAAGGTATCTGCTTTACTTTCTCTGCATTAAGGGCAACAAATGCTAGCTAATTTTTTAGGTGTCTTACCTATCCTCACCCATCCCTTGTGTGCTCTCGCTTTTATCATGTGCTTATAGTCCAATCCCATTGTTGTGTTTGCCCTTGATCTAATGTCCACATATGAGGGAGAACATACGATGTTTGGTCTTTTGGGCCAGGCTAACCTCACTCAGAATGATGTTCTCCAATTCCATCCATTTACCAGCGAATGATAACATTTCGTTCTTCTTCATGGCTGCATAAAATTCCATTGTGTATAGATACCACATTTTCTTAATCCATTCGTCAGTGGTGGGGCATCTTGGCTGTTTCCATACTGGCTATTGTGATAGTGCGCAATAAACATGGTGTGCAGGTGCCTCTGGAGTAACCTGTGTCCACAGTTTTTGGGTATATCCCCAAGAGTGGTATTGCTGGATCAAATGGTAGATCAATGTCTAGCTTTTTAAGTAGCCTCCAAATTTTTTTCCAGAGTGGTTGTACTAGTCTACATTCCCACCAACAGTGTAAGAGGGTTCCTTTTTCCCGCATCCTCGCCAACACCTGTTGTGTGGTTGCTGATGATGGCTATTCTAACAGGGGTGAGGTGGAATCTTAGCGTGGTTTTAATTTGCATTTCCTTTATTGCTAGAGATGGTGAGCATTTTTTCATGTGTTTTTTTGGCCATTTGAATTTCTTCTTTTGAGAAAGTTCTGTTTTTAGTTCACTTGCCCATTTCTTTATTGGTTCATTAGTTTTGGGAGAATTTAGTTTTTTAAGTTCCCTATATATTCTGGCTATCAGTCCTTTGTCTGATGTATAGTTGGCAAATATTTTCTCCCACTCTGTGGGTGTTCTCTTCAGTTTAGAGACCATTTCTTTTGATGAACAGAAGCGTTTTAGCTTTATGAGATCCCATTTATCTATGCTATCTCTCAGTTGCTGTGCTGCTGGGGTTTCATTGAGAAAGTTCTTACCTATACCTACTAACTCCAGAGTATTTCCTACTCTTTCCTGTATCAACTTTATAGTTTGTCATCTGATATTAAGATCCTTGATCCATTTTGAGTTAATCTTGGTATAGGGTGATATACATGGATCTAGTTTGAATTTTTTGCAGACTGCTAACCAGTTTTCCCAGCAGTTTTTGTTGAAGAGGCTGCTATTTCTCCATCGTATATTTTTAGCTCCTTTGTCAAAGACAAGTTGGTTATAGTTTTGTGGCTTCATATCTGGGTCCTCTGTTCTGTTCCACTGGTCTTCATGTCTGTTTTTGTGCCAGTACCTTGCTGTTTTTATTGCTACTGCTTTGTATTATAGTTTGAAGTCAGGTATTGTGATACCTCCTGCCTTGTTCTTTTGACTGAGTATTGCCTTGGCTATTCGTGGCTTCCTGTGTTTCCATATAAATTTCACGGTAGATTTTTTGATGTCTTTAATGAATGTCATTGGAATTTTGATGGGAATTGCATTAAATATGTAGATTACTTTTGGGAGTATCGACATTTTTACTTTGTTGATTCTACCAACCCATGAGCATGGGAGATCTCTCCACTTTCTATAGTCTTCCTCAGTCTCTTTCTTCAGAAGTGTATAGTTTTCCTTGTAGAGGTCTTTCACATCTTTTGTTAGGTTTACACCTAGGCCAGGCAGGTGTTCTTACCACTTGAGCTATTTCTGTCAGCCCAAGAAGAAGAAATTTTGACATATGAAAATTCCATGAAGCGTCCGTAAATAAAGTGTTATGGGAATACAGCCACACTTTTTTTCTCCTTTATGGTGATGGGGCTTAAACCTAAGGTACTGCACATGCTAGGCAAGGGCTCTACTGAGCTACACCCCCAGCCCTAGCGGCACCTGTTGATCTGTGTATTGACTGCATTTACTTTTTGTGCTATAAATGTTGTAGAGTTGAGTATTTACACTAGTCTAAATTACCTAAATAAACTCACCTGTTCACTCTCTGGCTCTTTAGGAAAAGCTTGCCAACACCAAACACCCCATTTTTCAGGGCTCCTCCCCATCATAGTGCCCATGCTCTGTCCCTGACATACTGTAGCAAAATGTTGTTATTAGATGTCATGGGAGACAAATTATGATAATTTTTACTTTTTTTTCATTTGAGCATTACAGTTTACAGTGTTGTTTACATGTACAAATTGAAGTATTTCTTAATTTCAAATTATATTTAAGTGAATGATTTTTATAATGAATGATTTTTTAAATTACAGTTCCTAAGAAGCCAGAATCCAGTGAGGATGAAGAAAAAATTGGAAATGAAGAGAGTGATTTAGAAGAAGCTTGTATTTTGCCTCATAGTCCAATAAATGTGGAAAAAAGACCCATTACAGTTAAATCTCCTAAGGTGAAATATTTTCTGTGATTTTGAGATTGGCTAAATAGAAGCACAGCATGCAGCAAACGAACCTATAAGTGTACCTTTGTTCTGAGCATCTGTAGCGTAGTGAGTGCGGTGGCTGTTAAGTATGGCCCCAACTGGGTGTGGTAGCACATGTATGTAAACCCAGCATTGAGGATCCTGAGGTAGAACGATGTGAGTTCAAGCCAGCCTAGACTACAGAGTGAGATCAAGACCAGTTTTGGCTATATAGTGAGACCCTGTTTCAAAAAACCAACAGCCCCATTGAGCTGAATGAACTTGACTGATGATACCCTAATCAGAACTATAGCTGGAGAAATAGTTCCTTTTATTTTTGGTACTACATTTCATCATTATTTATTCATCATTTATTCCTTGAATGCATCTTTTGTTCCAGAAACTGTATTGGTCCTTGAGGCTGGTAATGTGAAGGATGAATTTTTTGTGATTGTTGTTGTTGGCAGGACTGGGGTTTGAACTCAGGGCTTTGTGCTTGCAAGGCAGTCACTCTACCACTTGAGTCAATACGGTCTTGCTTTTTGCCTAGGCTGGCCTGAACCACTGTCCTCTTATTTTATGTTCTCCACCATCACTGCTTGGATGACAGGTGTGTGTTGCCACACGCAGCTTTTATCCATTGAGATGGGGTCTTGCAAACATTTTTGCCCAGGCTGGCCTGGAATTGCAATCCTCCCTATCTAAGCCTCTCTGTAGCTTGAGATGACAGGTGCGTGCCACTGTACCCAGGTACTGGTTAACATAGGGTCTTGCTAACATTGTGCCTGTGCTGGCTTCCTATTGTGATCCTCTGAATCTCAGCCTTCAAAGTAGATAGGATGATAGGCATAACCAATTGATGCCCAGCTCTTTCTTTTTTATTAAACACTGTATGTTAATTACTCAATTTAAAATATCTGAGCTGGGGGTGTAGCGTAGTGGTAGAGTGCTTGCCTAATTGGTGCTACAAGGCCCTGTGTTCTATCCCCTGCACCATAAAACAAAGCAACCACCAATAAACAAACAAAAACTTGCCAGTTTAAATCTATTAATATTTTTTTTTTGCTTTTATTTAAGTCAGTTTTAGAATATATGTTAATAGGATAAACTAATGGTGCAAATTGTTCTCCTTTGCTAGGATAAATGGCAGCCACTGTTGAGTACAGTTACAGGTGTTCACAGATACAAATGGTTGAAGCAGAATGTTCAGGGTCTTTATCCGCAATCTGCACTCCTTAGTACAATTGCTGAATTTGCCCTTAAGGAAGAGCCAGTGGATGTGGAAAAAATGAGAAAGTGCTTACTAAAACAGGTAACATTTTATGAGAACATGCTTCTCTGTATTTAGTAATATATACATTATTGAATTGTATATATTAATATTTTGCAGCTGGAGAGAGCAGAGGTTCGCCTGGAAGGGATAGATACAATTTTGAAACTGGCAGCCAAAAATTTCTTACTTCCATCTGTACAGTATGCTATGTTTTGTGGATGGCAAAGACTTATTCCTGAGGGAATTGATATAGGGTAAAACATTGTAATTTCTTTTTCTTAATTATGGGAATCTGTAGAAACACAATATTGTTCTATTAATGTTAAAAGCCTGGCAATGATGTAAGTACAATTCTTTTTCTTTGTTTGAAAGGGAACCCCTAACAGATTGTTTAAAGGATGTTGATTTGATCCCACCTTTTAATCGAATGCTGCTGGAAGTAACTTTTGGCAAGCTGTATTCTTGGGCAGTTCAGAATATTCGAAATGTTTTGATGGATGCCAACGCTAAATTTAAAGAGCTTGGTGAGTTTTAAAAAAACTAGACCCTTTAAGTTTAATCATTAATTAAAAGTCTGTATTAAAGTTGAAGTTGTGTTATTATTTCATTGACTTTAACTGTATTTTGTGGAAACTTGCAAATGCTAGTTTTTGCTTCTGGGAATTTTGTATATTAGATTGATAATCTAAGGTAATGCTAGCTTTCTCAGATTTTAAACAGAACTGTCAAAATTTTGCAGAAAACACAATTTTGAAGTACTGCAATATAAAACCTTCATGTTTCACATTTGTATGAATATCATCACATCATACATTCTAAAGTCTGTGTGTCTTATATTAATACTTATTTCCTGGGTAGTTGGAACATCTATAGAGAAATGCTAGAATTGGTTTTGTGGTAGAAAAGTAAAACATAAGTGTTAGTTGGAAGTGAAAGTATGCCCCAGGGATGGTTAGAGAGCAGCATGCTAAGTCTTAAAGATAGATGGACATAGCTGTGTGTAGAATGCAGGTGGTAGGACAATTGGAAAATAGCAACCATATCTTCATACTGTATGGAAATCCATTGAAAAATAAAAGTTACTAACATAAGTATATAAGAAACCAAAACTCCAGTGCTTTCTGTGTCATGTATATTATTATATAAATGAACAAGAAACTTAAGTGCATGCCAATGCTTATTAGGTATCCAGCCTGTTCCCCTACAAACCATTACCAATGAGAACTCTTCGGGACCAAGCCTGGGGACCATCCCACAAGCTCGTTTTCTCCTGGTGATGCTCAGCATTCTCACTCTGCAGCATGGTGCAAACAATCTTGACCTCCTGCTCAACTCCGGCACACTAGCACTCACACAGACTACACTGAGGCTCATTGGTATGTTGGCACTGGATTTGAGTCCTGTAAAATATTCTTTTTTTGGCAGGGACGTATATTAAATTGTATATATTAAGGGTTTTCATCATAACATGTAAGCATATAATGTACTTTGATCATATTTACATTCTCTATTATTCTTTCTCCTTACACTTCCTTATTGGTCCCCCTTTTACTTTTGTGACCCTGGTTGTTTTGTTTTGCCCTACCTTCCAAAAACAAGAGAAAATATGTGATACTTGTCATTTGGGACTGGCTTATTTCAGTTACAATGATTATCTCCAGTTCCACCCATTTTACATTAAATGATTGGTAATTTTACATTTTACATTATCTTATTTTCTTAAAGGCTGAGTAAAACTGTTATGTATATATTCTTAATCCATTTATTTGTTTATGAGCACATAAATTGGATATTGTGACTAGTGTCATGATAAATATAGGTGTATAGGTCTCTATATATTAAGCTGATTTTGATTCTTTTGGGTATATACCCAGAAATTTTATGGCTGGATTATATGGGAGTTCTATTTTTAATTTTTTAAGGAATCTTTATACTGATTTCTATTGTAACTAGACTTAGGTTTCTACTACCAGCGGATCAGAGTTCCTTTGTTTCCCTGCATCTTGTTGTTGCTTGATGTGAGCCATTCTGACTGGGGTGAGGTAGAATCTCCATGTGGTTTTGATTTGCCAGTCTCTGATGGCTAAAGATATTGAACTTTTTTTTCATTTATTTATTGACCATTTGGGACTGGTGGAGTGGCTCAAGTGTTAAGAGTGCCTGGCTAGTGAGTTCAAACCACAGTACTACCAAAAAAAAAAAAAAAGTCTAACTTATTCACGATTTGTACTTCTTCATTTGAAAAGTGTCTATTCATTTCATTTGCCCATTTACTGATTGAATTATTTGTTTGTTTGGTGTTTGGGCTTTTTTGAGTTCTTTATATACTGTTGATTATGAGTGCCCTGTCAGATGCATGTCTGGCAAAGACTTTCTCCCATTCTCTAGGCTGTCTGTTCATTCTGTTGATTGTTTCTTTTGCTGTGCAAAAGCCTTTTAATTTGATATTATCCCATTTGCCAGTTCTTGTTATTATTTCCTGAGCAGTTGGAGTCCTGTATACATATGTATCGAAGTGTTTCTCTTATGTTTTCCTCTGGTAGTTTCAAAGTTTCAGGTCTTACATTAAGGTGTTTGATCAATATTGAGTTGATTTTTGTACAGGGGAGAGAGAGGGATCAGTTTCAGTCTTCTAAATATAGATATCCAATTTTCCAAGCACTACTTGTTAAAGAGGCTATCTTTTCTCCAGTATATATTTTTGGTGCCTTTGTCAAGAAGTACCTGCTTGGGCTTGTTTCTGGATTTTCTGTTCTATCCCATTGGTTTTTTGTTGCCAGTATCATGCTGTTTTTGTTACTATGGCTCTGTAGTACAGTTTGCAGACAGGTAGTTTGATACCTCCAGCTATTGTGATACCTCTTGCCTTTCTTTTTGCTTAGGATTGCTTTGGGTATTTGGGAGTCTTTTATGTTTCCACACCAATTTTGGGATTGTTTTTTCTACTTCTGTGAAGAATGGCATTGAAATTTTGATGGGCATTGCACTGAATTGTATATTGCCTTTGGTAGTATGGCCATTTTTACTATATTTATTCTCCTGATCTATGAATGAGGGAGTTCTTTCCATCTTTTAGCGTCTTCTACAGTTTGTTTCTTCAGCACTTTATAATTTCATTGTAGAGGTCTTTGAACATGTTTGATACCCTTCACACATCTATATATGCTCTAATCTTAATATTTTCCTTTGGCTAACCTTGCTTTTACTATGTTTTTATTCTTCTAGTTTCTTCAGAAATTCTGTTTGAGATCTTTTTTTAATGCATGCTTTTATAAGAATAAATGTCCCTCTTAGCACTGCTTTTGATGAAATATATAGGTTTGTGATGTTGCGTTATCATTCATCTTAATGTATTTTCTAATATCCCTGAGATTTCTTCTTGCCCTACTACTTGTTTGTGTTTTTAATTCCTGCATAATTATGAATTTTGCAGTTTTACCTCTGTTACTATTTTCTAATTTTGTTTGGGTCAGATAAGTTAATTTTCATTATTTTAGTTTATTTAAATTTAAGACTTATTTTGTGGACTAACATGGCACATCTTGAAAAATATTCCATGTATATTTGAGAATAATGTAAATTCTGTTCTTTTGGGAATAGTGGTTTGTATCTGTTAGAGCTAATTGGTTTATAATATTTATGGTCCAAGTTCAAGTGAAAATGTTAGGTTTTCACAAACTTTTTAAAATCTTAGTGTCCATATTGATCTATTTAGAAATATGCATCAGGCTGGAACACCATCAGCTGATAAGTGTCATGCGTATTATTACTTAAGTTCTCATTAGCAACTAAAGGTTGCTTTTAGTTTTGGTTTTTTTGCAGTACTGGGGCTTGAACTCAGGGCCTATACTTTGAGCCACTCCACCAGCCCTTTTTGTGATGGGTTTTTTTGAGATAGGGTCTCGTGAACTTCATGCCTGGGCTGGCTTCAAGACATGATCCTTTTGATCTCTGCCTCCTGATTAGCTAGGATTACAGGTGTGAGCCATTGGCGCCCACAAGAATTGCTTTTAAAAATGACAAAAATGAGCCAGGCATGGTAGTTCACATCTATAAACTCACCACTTGGGAGATTCTGGCAGGAGGATTGTAGTTAGAGGCCAGCCTGCACTAGATAAAGAGACCCTGTCTCAAAAACTACCAACAACAAAACAAAACAACGAAAAATAAAAGAAAAAAGATACTGCCTGTCTTGTTACAAGTCCCTTTTTTACAGAGACTTCGATAGGTAAAAGTCATAGTACAAATCATTAATTTATGGTTAAAAAATAACAAATTATAGCAAAGAATGACTTGGGGGCTTGTTCTGTTAACGGCAGTCATGAGTTAAAATGCCATCTACTCCACTGGCTGCAAAAAGAAAGGGAATTGTGTCTCATAAATATATATTTGTAACTTTCTTTTGTTAGGATGATCTCTCCATCATTTGAGAAATTGCAAGCATACATTTTATATTAACTTTGTATGTACATACAGATACAGTAAACACAAAATATAAATTGTCTTTCAAAAATTCTCCTTTTTTCTTTTTGCAAATTTATTCAAGCCCCTAATAGTAAATTCAGGGTTTGAACTCAGGGCTTTGAACTTGCTAGGCAGGCACTCTTATTTGAGCCAAGCCTCCAGCCCATGAGTATCTGTCTAACTTAATCATCTTGAGCGGGTGGGGTGTAATTCCTAGAAGTAAGATAAATAATTTTTACGTGCATTTTCATATTTTTTATATCTTCTGAACATATTTATGTATTTTGTCTTCCCCTTTACCTTTTTTATCTTAGATCAAATTATAATCTTTCTGTTATATGTATTGTATTAATTGATTTAAAAACTCAGTATGGTTTTTTTAAACTTACAGTCTTTGTCAGTGCTTACTGATTTTTGCACACATGTGGAGTTTTTCTTGTTTGTTTGTTTGCTTGGCTTTTGAGTATTGGTCTCACTTGTGGCCCAGATGGACCTCAAACTTGTGATCCTCCTATCTCAATCTCCTGAATGTTGGGATTATAGGCAAGCACCACCAAGTCCACTTGTGTGTGTGTGTGTGTGTGTGTGTGTGTGTGTGTGTGTGTGTGTGTGAAAAATATGAAATTGTAGATCCCTGTTGATTCAGTTGTTGTTTTCAATGCTTTGACAGGTCCCAGTTGTGACAGTGTTGAGGAAGATACGAATGCTTCTGCCCGAGGGGCCTCTGCTACAGTTTTGGAAGAAACAAGGAAGGAAACAGCTCCTGTGCAGCTCCCTGTTTCAGGGCCAGAACTGGCTGCCATGATGAAGATTGGAACCAGGGTCATGAGAGGTGTAGATTGGAAATGGGGGGATCAGGTACTTAGAGATTTGATTTAACATATTGGCTGCATACTGGTCACCTTCTGCACATCCTGACTTAATATGAGTGGAAATTGGAATTGTTAACTACAGTAACTCAGAACATGCACAATTTGTAGATGACTTAATTCTTGATTCCTAAGCTACTAAATAATGGCAAGACAAGCAGGTAACAGCAACCTATGTAGGGGCACCTTGATAAGAATGAAGTCTAGGAGGAGTGGTAGTTATTTTTAGAAATTTCCCTGGCATGTCACTTGATGTGCTACTCTAAAAAAGCTCATTCTGATTTTGAATGCTAGTATTGTGGCAGCTCTGAGGCAGGAAGCCAAAATGCTGCCTCTGAGAGCTGATAGTCATATGCCTGTGAAGTACCCCACATCCAGTAATTGTGGGTGTGCCAGCTGGGTGAGTTATCACCTCTCTTTTTCCCCTTATAGCACATCATTTCCTAATCTCTGTTAGGTGACACCAGATAGGGGTCACTTACCATAGCCTTAGTGATGTAATTTTACCTTCCCATGGTTATGTCTAGGTTTTCTCAGCTGCACTGTTAAGCAGGGGAACAGTCATCTTAGTAATGAAAATGTCTGAGGACAGGTGGCAGCATTGTATAAACAGCTTTTTCCCTCAGACATGTTTGATTGTGCATCTCTCTGGGGCCCAGGGAGAAACAGAAGAAGAGAGGGAATGTGGAGGTGCTGAATGTATTAGGTTTCTGCTCTTAGGAAGCCCTGTGCAGGTGGGATTCATGAAGAGCCTGTTTCTGCATTGGCTTAGAGAGGGCCCTAATTGAGAGGATACTTCCCTCCCTTATTTTTCTGGTAATGAGCATGAGCATGTTAATTGATGGCATTTAATTATAGTGGTAGGAGTTGCACATTTTAAAAGTAAGTTTGGGAACAGTCTGATACACTAAGGTTGTATACTGAGAGAGCCACTGTCAAAGGAAGGGTGGGCCAAGGGAGACATGATCTCTGCTGCAGATACCATGGAGGGTCCAGGGCAGGGCATGCACCCTTTTAACTTGTCTTCATTTTGGCTTTTGCAGGATGGGCCTCCCCCAGGCCTAGGTCGTGTGATTGGTGAGCTGGGAGAGGATGGGTGGATCAGGGTCCAGTGGGACACAGGCAGCACCAACTCATACAGGATGGGGAAAGAAGGAAAGTATGATCTCAAGTTGGCGGAGCTGCCGGTCTCTGCACAGCCCTCTGCAGAGGACTCAGACACAGAGGACGACTCTGGTGGGTGACGTGTGAAGACAATTAGTCCAAGGCAGCCTGGCAACTTGTTCAGGTGTTGGCTGGCTGTCATTTTCCTCTAGAAAGATAAGACAGTGGTTAGAATAAGTCTGAAGATACTGCTCTATGTTTAGATTTGTCCTCTGTGCCTATGGTGTAAACATGTTCCCAGGAATTCTGATGGAGGTGCACAAAGTGGCTCTGGGAAACAGAAACCAGCCAAACTGACCCTGTGCATTTACTCCTCAACCTTTCTTGTTCTCCTTTTCAGAGTAGGATGGAAATACAAGTTAAAGCCTAGTTCTGATGGGTCTATGTAGTTGCAACTGAGCAAGCAAGTTGTGGTGTGGTAGATTTTGGGTTGCCTTGTGCTGCCTGGGTCCTTTGCCTCTTCTACCAGCTTTGAGCTCTGCAGAGCATGGATCCATATGCTGCCTCCTTTTACTGTCCTCTCAAGTTCTTGACTCAGAATGCTCTACATAATGTGGAATTAGTTAGTACTTTATTGTTTCAAAGAAAGCAGAGGATTTGGGAGTGAACTCAGAAAGTTTGATCCTCTCTAAGGAAATCCAAGGTTGTGGGAGGACATTTCTTGGTGTAAGCAGAAGACCCTGGGAGATGTGAATGAAGCATCACATGGCTGGCTTTGATGAGACCATCTGAGAAGTCAGAGAGTTGCCTCTTGGGATTTGATGTCAGCTGTATGTTCAGTGCCATCAGGCTTCAAAAATTGAGCATATGAGATCTGAAAGGGTGTGCTGTACTCAGAAGAGAGCAGGTGGTGTGAAGAGGAAGAGAGGCTCTCCAGGAGAGCACAGAATGGTCCTAGAGCACGTGGGGTCAGGTCCTGATGAATGCTGTGGAGGACTGTTCGGAGTGACACACATTTCCCCAGTGCTGGTTCTCCTGTCTTTTCTGTGCATATGACCCGTCTCCAGATCAGGGGTGGTCCTTTCCTCTACCCACTCACCAGGGGAAATAGGCCGGTTCTCTGGCTGGGAGCATTCCTCATTCAGCAGTTTGAGCCAGGGCAGGAGTGGCCATGTGACAGAAAGATGGGATTGTTGTCCTGCAGCTAGTCAGGCTGAACATTAAAAATGACTAGTTTCCTTGCCTCACATGTAGGCACTTGGCCCTCATCCAGGTTAGAGCTAGCTTGACATTTGATAAGTTGTCTTTCTATAGAAGTCAAGCCTTGTACTGAATTATGTACTGGGGATTTTTTGTTTATTTATTTTTTTATTATTCATATGTGCATACAAGGCTTGGGTCATTTCTCCCCCCTGCCCCCACCCCCTCCCTTACCACCCACTTTTTGTTTATTTTTTAAATGTTACTTAAAAGTCTTTCTATCTCTCTTTTTTCCTTTGAGAAAGGTGGGGACATAAATGATCAGAGCAGCCAGGTGCCCCGACTCCTCAGTTCCTCAGTAGTCTGAGGCAAAAGGATAAGTTGAGCTTAGGAATTCTGGCTAGCCTGAACAACATAGCAAGTTACTGTCTCTTTTAAAAAGAAAAACGAAAAAAAAAAGGAAGGAAGGACATGATCAGGGTAAAGTAGTATAATACTCAGTTTCATCTTTTCTTGAAAAGATTGCTTCTGTTTCCAAAGTGAAAAAGAAGAATGTGAAGTCTCTACCTTCCTCTTAACCTTGCTGTGAATCTAAAACTGCTTTTAAAAATTAGCCTCTAAAAATAAAAAAAACGAATGATTTTTAAGTCCATTAAATTACATGCAGGCCATTTTTCAATTTTATTTGGGAGTATAGTTTCTTATTTCAGACATCTTTTTCAGAAGCTGAACAAATTGAAAGGAACATTCACCCCACAGCAGTGATGATGACCAGCACTGTAAACTTATTGCAAACTTTGTGTCTCTCTGTTGGAGTTCATGCTGAAGTCATGCAGAGTGAGGCCACCAAGACTCTGTGTGGACTGCTGCGAATGTTAGTGGAAAGTGGAACGACGGACAAGACATGTATGAAATGAATAATCATGGTCCCAGAGAGTCAGAGTGTGTGTGTGTGTGTGTGTGTGTGTGACACACACACACACACACAATATGTTATGTC